AAAACGTGAAGCACAACCGCTCACATCATATAAAAATTCACGGAATGAAACCTGTGAATAACCATTAATTTTTTCTTCCGTTTGCAAAAATGAAAACACAAGCTTTCATTCAGAACTTCTGACTTCCTCTTATCATTTCAAACCAGCGGTGCATTTTGAATTCCACTCATCCGTCGTCAACGATTACGAACTGTAAGATAAAATTGTTTTATTAAAATTGATATACCTGTGAGTGCTAAATCTGAAAGAGTCTCAGATACATACTAAACGAAAAAACGAGGAAAATATTGAAATTGTTACATTAAGCTATGTGGTGATTAATACAGACTATGTGCAATCTCTATTCAACAACCTGCTCATTTCAAATTGACTTCAAACTTATATAACTTTCATACAATAAGAATGTCATTCACAGTGTCGAATATGGAAGAGAAGGAGATACATTGAGGATATTGCAAGGAATGAATGTTATTAAAAGCTTGCATGAGAGTTTTCGGAAAAACCGTTATAACAAAGCCTAGTTTTGGATGTATGGGAATGATGCACCAAATATGAACACACTGGTACACGCATACTACTCGTCAAAGAAACTGTTCAACCCCTCCCAATATGGAAAAATAAGCAGACTAGTCAATGAGATCTTCGTATTCAGCCCAGGGGTTCTCATGGAGAAAGGCTTCAACGACTTCTTTCATTGCCAAGTTTGGGACAAGATCCTCTTCACGAAGTTCAGCACGTGTTACAGGATCGAAATGTCCTCAAATAATATGAGCATTATGAATGTTTGCAATAAAAACCACATACCGACCCGTTGAAGATGTTGTTTTATGTCAGCACGATCATAAGTTATTCCAGAAGGAGTAATGACTGGGTCTCGAAGTACTTCGAACGATATTTTCCCGCAAAGATAATCCGGAATCTCACGCTTACGACGTCTCTCATCAATCTACAAATCACGTGGTAGGTGAAAAAACGTTTCATTATGAACCTGTGATAATATAGACATGAATTGATTCTCATAGGCGTGAGCCTCAGAAGCTATGCGTTCTCTCTCAGGATCATCCTTTTTAAGATCTTTCGTTCTTCGCTCAATATCGTCGGTAATGAGTCTGAAACATTGCAAGATAGATGAGAACAGCGATGGCGTCACAGACCCTTTCAAATAGGTGCTAAGATTGATTTCTTGTTGAATTTTCTTACATTCCTCTTGCTTGAACTTCTCTCTTCTAGCTATACGGATTTGGGAATGGATTTCATCGCCGAAGTTTCCCTGAATAAGGAGTGAGAAAATCACATTTAAATTGCATGATTCACCCCATGTCCTGTAGCCAAATCTACAGCTTTTACAAACAGTTTGATTGCTTCATCGTATTGCTCTGAGAGCAATGCTGATCTACCCCAGAAGTAGTAAGCCTGAAGTCGACTATCATGAGGAATGTTATCCTTATCATACAAACCTTGATGCTGCTTCTATCCAATTCCACAGCTTTTTGGCAATCATGAACAGCTTTCATATAATCTTTTACCTAAACAAGCAAGAAAGTAAAGAGTATACGACAAGTTTGTATTACATGTATGTAACATAGCGCTCTATTAGTATAATAATTAGCTATAGCAGGACATCGTGATATGGCTCTTGTGTAGGAGTTAATAGCGTCAGTATATTTTTTATTTTCAAAAAACTTATTTCCTTGATTCTTCAACTCCTCTCCAGTTGACATACTGAAACAGTTATACTAGACATGAGCTCTTACGAACTGTAACAAAACAAACAGATATGACAGCAACAACGCTCAACAAATTTTCGAGGAACACGCACATAACAAATGCAATTGCATGACCGCACATGTTGATGGGTCACGTGTGTAACCAAGAAGTTAAACGATACAGTCAATAAGTAAAAAAATGATAAAGCGTATAACAGAAAGAGTCAGTAGTCGAAGAAGAAGAAGAAAGCTTGAACTATTATTCTCTGATAAGCAATACGCAATATCGCGTCACGTAGGTCCGGAAATTGTAAGTGGCGAACGGCATTATTTACATTTAAAAGCTTTACAGCGTTTCAAGGCGTGCGAACAATGATAACATTTCTCATTACTAACTAATTTATTTTATTTGTTTAACAATATGATCACGAGTTAAGACAACAACTGATCAATCTTCTAATTCCAAATCAAACCAGCATGAGACTGATATTGATGGACTCAGTGATTTCACGAAATGCCACCACTTTTTCGGGATATATAGAGCATCTCCTGCTTCCAAAATCACATCGAAACACTGAGCTTTTGCGAAATTTGGAAATTCTTCGTAATCCGGATGCTCCACATCAACCTATTTCAATCAATTATTCGGAAACAGTGAGCGTTCTCTACCTGACTAGTGTTCGTTAAAATGCCATCTTGAATGGGATAGACGTGTTCTGTATCTGTTGGAGGGATTAAACGTAAGAACTTCCTTCCGTACACCTGGCAACATTATCGTTGTTGATCTTGATAGTCGCTGCTAATATCTCTCACCTGACAGAATAAGTTATGTCGTGGATCAGTGTGGAGAGGAGACACTGTTCCTTGAGGCCCTATCCAGAGGTTTTTCTCAGTGTCCTATACCAACACTTATAATTCTACCAGAAGATAATCAGCTCTACCTCTTCTGAAGCCCCGGTGACAGTGCATAAGGAAGGAGTGGTTATGTCGGCCTTCAACTCAACGATTTGATCGAGTAACCGGTGTTGAGCAAGATAATGAATCTTAAAAAGATAGGTTCAATCGGGCAACTAGTTTACAAGATGAAACCCCCTCGTCTCCAGAACTTTCGTTGCATTTTCCGAAAAACTCATTAGCAGAAATAATTTTCTGTGACCAACCATCTTCAGTGTATTTGGTGCCTATTTCAATGGGTACTAGCCTATGACCCATGACATCGTTCAAATATTCAAAACTAAAAACATGCTTGATGATATTAAAAATAGCGTTAGGAACGAACTTCCATTTCGTGAATGCAGGCCAGCTCTGCACCAGATTACGGATATGAACAGGAAGATTAGGTAAACCATATTGCTCGTAGAATGCTTCATCACTCAAATCATGTTGCTGAATTGAAATGTTCTTGGAATGCTCTAAACTGATTGGCGGCTGAATATTTTTCTACAAATAAGGAGTTATTACATGTGAAGGGCAATATTTGAACTAACCAAATGACAGTCTACAATAGGCAAACGTTCTAACGAATTCTTCAAATCATTTGTTATATTGAGAATAAAACAGTCATCAAACTTATGACGTCCCATCAAAATTGCCATATCGAATGCGTTCAATGCTTCCTTCAAATAATACTTTATAACTTTACAATTACATTCATTATACCTTATAGTTATGCTCATTTCGTAATCGAACTGTTTTGGCAAGTAATACACCAAAATAGAAATATCTCCAACGTTCATCTACATTCGAATAATGACCTTTGAAATTTTCCTTTTTTTATTATTTCGACACTTCGTTTTATTACCAGTATTCAATTCTTTCCAAGCCATATGTATCAAAAACGTTTCATCTTTGATCAGTTGCTCCAATGGATAGGATGGCACAAATAAATCTGAAAAATGGAAGAAACAAAAATTTTTTTTTAATTTCAAACTCTCTCTCTTCAAAATACCTTTAAAGACATTTGTACGTGATTGTTGTTCAATGATCCATGTAGCATATTTGACAAATTTGTTGAACAGGCCTAATCCAATGATTCTTGAATCGCATAATTCAATTAAAGTGCCCAATGTTATAAATCTATTCTCCTGTAATATATATATATATATAATATATAATATAATATATAATATGTGATTGGTTAATGAGAAGTGTTGATGAAATGCAGCCGTTCTGTGTATAAGCTGTGTAGTACAACACATAACTTCAAAATGAAACAATGCCACGTGCAACAACAACATCTCTCACGTCAACGTGTTAATACGTCACGTGAAATTAGCATAAATATTTGAAAAATCAATATATATTACTTGTATATCATGCAGAAGTGATTTGATGTTTTTGATAACATTCGGATCATTATATTCACCTTTGTAGACACACGTTGATAGATTCTCATCATACTGTCGAACATCACTTGAAAAAAAAATTATTTTTTTGTATTTAATTTGGAAAAAAAAAGCCGAAAAAAACATTTTCTTTTTCATAAATGATTGTTTTGAAAACATACTATTGAGAAATGTAGGTAAGATCAGGAAATATGACTGTTCGATGTAGTATATTGACTTCGTCCAGATATTCATCTGATACAACAATAGCTCTGTGAATACGAATAAATTAATATTTTACAATAACAATTATTCTTATTATTTACCCAAGCTTTCCATAGAAAGGTAAGACTGATGATTGAGCATGAGCTACAACTAACAGATTTGGCCATTTGTTTTTACAATACTTCAACAGCCAGTTTGTAATAACGGCTCCAAATCGTTTTCCACGACATTCCTAAAGATGGTTTGGTTTGAATGGATGGATGGATAGCTGTTTGTTAATAGGAAATGTACCTTCAAGATTGCAACTCGTTCAAGTTTGACAAAAGGCTCTTTCACATTCAAACGAAATACTCCCACATTCTTATTTTCTGCGAGAAGAATGAATTAAGGAAGTAGATGGAGATAAAGAAGACGGAAATACCTTCTGGATCAAAACAAAGAAAATGCTCCGAAGACTCTTCATATGCATCGAGTTCCTCGTCTTCAGGAACCCCTTGTTCTTCAACGAAAACCTGAAATTCGATTCGTTGTGTATGCTGACAACTCGAAACATTACTTTCAGCCGTATATCCCAGATATCTTTGAATTTCTCCGAATGATAATCATATCTTTCAATCTCTAGTACTTTCTGTTGAAGCTGAAAAGTGTTCCATTGATGTTGAGAAAAATATTGAAAAAGATAGTGTTCGTCTAGTCCATTTCCGTATAATCTATCATCGTCTAATTAACACATTGACATCTCCTCGAGACAATACTTCAAGTTCTTCAAAACTCGGAAACTATGGGAATGATTGACGAATCGAAGCAGATTTCATCATACAGGTAGACAGAGAGAGAGAGAAAGAGAGAGAAGGAGAATATAAAAATTCCCGAGGAAAGACAAAGATTCTCTCCGATTTGTTATGCCTATCCATCTCCCTCCCCCACCCCCCTTGCTTGTTCTATTTTGGAGAGAAAAAGAGAAAAAACTTGTAAACATGAAATAAATAACAGTCAGAGTAGAAAATAGGAGAGAATTTCAAGAGAAAATAGGCGAAGAACAAGTTCTCTTTCGCTTTGGCAAACACATGCAAATGCTGATGGACAAAGAAGGAAATTTCGTTTGACATTATCATTTGAATTCGCTGTTAAAGTTGTTAATGCTTATTCTCAAAATCATTTTTCATTTCATAGAGAGCTGTGTGTGTGGTGTGTGTGTGTGTGGGTTGAAAACATTCCAATGTCTTCTGATTTCCTTATAATATATTGTACGGCTGGGAGGGAGAGGCAAAGAAGGCTTGAGGGGCAGATTGAGTAGGACACAAGAAAACAGAAAAAGAAATTGATAGAGAGAGTGAGAGAGAGATCTAGAGAGAGAGAGAGAGAGAAGGGAGACTAGAAGGCGAAAGTACAAATCGGGCTGAACTCTTAAGTGTTTCAAAGAATTTTTTTTTATTGAAATACTGTTTAAAGCAAAATATTTTCATTTTCCCCTCTCCCTGTGAAAACAAGCTCACAAGGAAACATTTAAGTAATTTTTCCAAGTAAATATTCTTTGCGAGTCCAATTTCCGTTCAACCAGTCTATTTATGGTAAGTTATGTAAATTAGATGATGAATCACAGATGAATTCGCTGGAAAAACTCTAATCTGCTTAATGTAATGAGCATGTAAATCAGATCTCGATTGTTACAGCAGCGGTAGCTGCAGTAGCTGCAGAAGCAGGTTACATCACGAGCCTTCACACGAGATGTCGTAGGAAGATGAGATTGAGCATTAATCTATGAATAAACCGATGATGAGTTCATTTCAAGTTATTACATACTTTCAAAACAGTCTACTTAACTGTATTCTGGTTGGTTTTGCGATTATGACGTGATGGCGTTCGTTAGACCTCAGCATGATCGATGACGTCTACTAAACTTGAGCTCAAAAGCGTTTTCCCCTTCTCCTCATGTGTTCAAGTACAATAAAATAAATTTTTCTCTTTTTGCGTTCAATAATCATATGATTTCCAATTTCGCATATCAACATGTTCTTTCTAAGACAGTCTTCAATTACTTCGATTAAACTACGAGTGGCTAATTTCCAAATCAAATGACCGTTTAACCACAGTGTGTATGTGTGTGTGTGTCTCTGGTTGTTGTTCAATAACATAAAGACTCGAAAACCACAAATGTATGAAGGAAGGGTGATTGGAAGTAAGTAACATAGAGAGAGAAAGAGGGAAGGAGGGAGGGAGGGAGGGAGGGAGAGAAGGAAGAAGCTTCTTCCTCAAAGAGATGATTCGAAGATGGGGCATCGACGAAGGAGAATTGAAACAGAAAAAGCATGAAAATGAAAAGAACTAAATGAGCTAAGAATAGATTATCTTTTGTCCAGATAAATTGCACAAAATAGGATAAAACAAGTTCTCTCGACCAACGAACATCCAAAGTGCACTTTTTGGCTTTTCTTACCATTTCTTCAGGCTTTTTCAGACTTATTATCCTTTTCATTCAATGTTTTTCACTAATTCACAATAATATGAATGAATAGAAGGACATAACGAACCTATGAGGAACTTGACGTCAAACACACACACACACACATATGAGTGAAGTAACGAGGTACGTACGGATGAACTTCATCTCATTCGCACATTCTCTTCAATAGCCGTCATTGAGTCATATGTACTAGACACCCCAAAATTGAGAAACAAAACACAATTTTTCTTATCGTATGTCAGATCTTTGTTCTTCATCCTATTCGTTTTCTCTTCTCCGCTTTTTTTCTTCTTCTTCTTCATCTTCTCCTTCGCATTCTCCTTCGTCTTCTTCTCCTTGTCTTGTCCCTTTCCTTCCGTTCGAACCAGAAAAAAAAAGAAAATATTTCCCATTTTTGTGCTGATTTGCTCTCACGAACTTTGGCAACAACTACTTTTACATCCAAGTAATACATCTTTTATTTTCATCATTCATTCTTTTATTGTCAATTAAATAAATGAACAAAGAAACAATAAAGTTACTTCTGTATAAGGAGAGAGAGTGAGCGAGACAACGGGACAAGAAGGGCTTGGCTCATAGAGCATTTATCAATTCACCTCGTTTACAATCATGGACGAATGAACTCTTCAACTCTGATCATCTGAACCATCATTGAACCGTATGATTCAAACTTCCATACTTACACATCAATTACCTCTCGTGACTCCGAACCCAAAAAAACCTTTTGAATATTCAAATTCAATACTCAATGAACCAAAAGTTTCTTTTTTTTTAGACGTTTTACTTCGATACACCTTGTTCAGTCCATATTTCTTTCGAAATTTCTCTGTCTAGCCTCTTCTCTTCATACAGCTTGCAAATGCATCTTTAGCTTTACTCTTCAAAAGCTTCACGTACATATCTATTGGAGATCGATGGAGGCGGTGCTTAATACGTCGGCGAACGTTTAGCGTCGCGCGCGTTGTCGCGACTACACTTAGCCGACGGGCAGCCCCTACAACCCCTCCCGCCCTCGGCGCACTAACACCAAGCCACTACAAGCGCCAACAGCGGGCCAGACGACTAGTCTGTCAGCCACGCAACGAGGTTATTCCTTCTCCCTTATTTGATATTTGATTTGAAGTTATTACTGTTATTGTTTCATTTACACTTTGAACCATACCAATCCACCCACCGTTGTAATTTGAATAAGGTGACGCGTCACGAATGTAATGGAAACGTGAAACACACGTGGACAGCCACGCGTGGTTGCACACGTAACAAATCATTTTGTGTTGATTGGACGCAGAGAGCGGTTGACTTCTTCTTTCTTCTCTTCTCATCTCCATTCTCTCAATATGCAACTCCTCCTGTTAAAACTATTTTTTTGCATAATTAAGCTCCCCAACATATTTCGTTAATCTTTCGTTTTAAGATTCATAATCTTACTTATCCGTCGGATTGACGGAGCAAAAGCTTCCAACGTCTTCGGATTCAAATATTATTAACTGCAGCGACGGCGAAATGGGCGAACTAGAAAGTGAGCAAGATACTCTTCAGCATTTCACAGCATCAGGCCGAGCAGGTCGACGTAATGCACTGCCCGTTATCGAGGTATGTTCACATCATATTTTATGAATTTTTAAATTTACAATTCATACTTGATCACTCATTTTGCATTTTTGTCTTTTTCTCTTCTCCATCCATACATCCTCCCTTCTCCTCTTCTCAATATGTTTTCCTTTTCTTTTTTTTTTTTCATAAAAAAACATTAGCAAAAGCAAGCGAATGGCGTATTTTGGGGCGTCTACTTTAAAGATTTTTGCGTTGAGCTTTCAGTTTTTTGTGTTGAACACAGCCAAAAACGAGAAGAATAAGAGCTCGTTTAACAAGCTTTCAAATCGTTTAGTACTTCTTCAATATTCTAATTTTCATAATTCTCTTTCAAATTATGGGCATTAAATGGTGTTTATGAGTCGCATTTCTATAATGATTATCGACCAATCATCCAACTAATTTTAATAGAAAAAAGAAGAAGAAAAAATGATTCTCAATGCTCTCATAAGCAGATGAAGAAACTTACTGAGATATAGAGATAGAGAGAGAGAGAGGAATTGATAGATTGAGAGAGAGAGAGAACATTGTCTTCAATTTCCTTTAAAAGCTTTTTCATCTCATAAATGCTTCCTACTCTATTCAATGGCATATCCTTATATGAGAATGAAAACATTTTATGATGATTTATGCTAATCACGATAGAGAGGGAGCATGAGTGTTTCTGTTTTTTGACAATGTTTCTTCTTATATGTCATAAGGGTGTGACGTACCACTCTTGAAAGAGTGATGACAGAGAAACAGCATAGTAAAGCGACTAGAACTGAGAGAGGAGAAGAATGTGAAAGTGAGAGAGAGAGAGAGAGTACGAGTACCATGAGAGAGAGATAGAGAGAGAGAGAGTAGGGTGAGAATGAAAGGAATTGTTTCAAGTTTGAAAGAACAAGCTACATCAAACATATTGTCCTATTGCCTATTAAAACAACAAAAGTTAACAACTTGAACGAAACAATTCCATTCAATTCCCAATATGGTTGTTGTCGGTACCACGACGGTGACAATCAATGACAACTTTCTTTGAAAACCCTTTTTTTCCATAAATAACAACTTCCTCTCAATTGAATGCGCCAGCCAAAACAGTTTCAAATGAGAAACGTTCCTCTCATCTTCTTCCAAAAACTTTTTTTTTATATTTTTCTCTCTGTTTGATGGAAGTCTGAGGGAAAGGGGGCCAAAAAACCATTTCAACTCATAAAAGGAATCATCTGATTTCGATCGTTAAATCAATCTTTCGATGACGTTCAAAGACGATTGAACCTCGTCAGAGAGGGTTAAAGGCTCTCATTGAAATCGGTCATTTATCGAATGAACCGTCCAGATTAACACTTCCTTTCTTCCTTTCTTTTTATTTCTGTGAATAACCTCTACATCATCAGTAGGCGACACAGATAAAGAGAGAGAGGGAGGGGTAGAGGGAGTGAGGAAGAAGGTGAGAGGGAGAGAAGGAGATTGAAGCATTAAATATGATCTTAAAAAGACAATTTTTCAACTCCTTTTGATGAGAAGTAGAGAGAACGGGATCGAAAGAAGAAAAGAGCAAAATACGGACGTGACCAATCGAGATGACATCGTTAAATGTTGTTCAAACATGCAAATTCAGATGTTTCGTGACGTCACAACTCCATATGAATTCATCTCCGAGAAGATATTTCTTCTCAACTTTCTCTCTCTTTCTCTGTTTCTTTTTTTTTTTGCTCATAATCGATGGATATTCTCTCAAATTGTTTAATTTGAAAGACAAAAAGCCTCTCGCATTCTCACATCTTCTTGTTTCAATCAGTTTTGCTCTTCAATAAGCAATCGTAAGGCTTTCTCTGTAAATCATCAACATTGTTGATACTAATGGCTTTGGAGAGTTTTTCAGCCTGTAAACAAGATAGCCCAGATTAATTCAGATCAACTACTTGAGAGATAGAGAGAGAGAGAGAGGAAGAGAGCTGAGAGAATTGAGAAAAGGGAAGTGTTCTATCGCAACACAAAGAGATGAAGAGAGAGTGAAAGAGGGATAGAGAACGAGAGCATATTTCAAATGGCAAGAAGGTTCCTGTGGTTGTCATGGTAAACATTGCTTCTCCTTTGATTGAAATGTTCCATTTGTGGCAACACATTAGATTTCATCTAATTCTTCTTCAACCAACGTGTCAGGTTCAAACAAAGCATCCGACCAGAGTTTGAACTGTAAACCCACGCATACATAAAGAAAGGCAAGGAAGAAGGGAAAAGCCAAATGATAAGAAACAAACGTCATCGTTATAGAATCTGTTATCAACGATGCCATCCACCCTATCTTCATTTGCTTCATGTTTTTTTCCTGTTTTCTCTGTCTCTCTCTCTCCTCAATGCGACTCTGTCAACTGATGTCGTCACGTAATTTGAAGCAAAAACGTTTGATAAAAGCTCCAGATAATCAAGTGAAGAGATATCAATGAACTTCACGTGAAGCATTGGAAGGAAACATCAAACATTAGATGTACCTGAGCAAGAGAATACCCTATACACCCGCATTTCCCCCATTTTCCGTAATTCAGTCCGAGAAAGAAATCGGAGAGCATGATATGATGACAGCAGGAGATTTTGGAGCTTCATTAGCCTTAGCAATTGATACAAGCTGTAGCAGATGAACATAGAGAGAGAGAGAGAGAGAGAGTGAGAGTAAGAGGGAGAGAGAGAGAGAACTACCAGAAACTGTCCAAGAAATACAGCTTTGTCGCTAAATTTTACACACTTCTCTACATCCATAAAAGTCATGTGCAAATAGATAAAGCAAAATGAATTTAAAGAACAAAACCATCCAACGCATTTTACTTCCAACACCCAATGAATGAAATCATGAGCTCTCTATTTATGAACGTAACTTAAATCCACTTAAGCTCGATGAAAAAGGAGAGTGAGGTGGTGAATGTATGACAAAAATAAGCTTGAAACTTTATCTCAGCACACGTCTTGAATGCCCATCAGCTGTTCAAATAACCTTCCTTCCCCCTCATCTCTTATGTTTTCCATAAATGGAAAGTGGGCAAAGAACCTTCTAAACGGGATAAAATAGATAAATCCACTTAATTACATCCAATATAACTCATTAATGCAAATCATTGACAACATTAGTAACAAGAGGATACTAAGCATCTTCCTTTGCAGGTAGAAATCAACGATCCAGGAGCTTTAAAGCTGGCTGAACGCTTATCCGACATGACAGCTCATTGTGAAAACGAACAAGACGTTCGCCGTCGTCAAGAAGCTCAAAGTAAGTTTCAAGTTTGCAATCATTGTGTGTGGGGGGAAATTCCTGAGCTACCAATCCATTACGTAACCACCGTATTGAGCTTTATCAGCTATTTTGGCAACGATAACGCTTTATCGAAAATGTGAAAAAATCCGAAGAAATTCGCTTTCATCGGGCTCATTCACGCAATAAGACAAGAGAAGTTGTGCTGATGGGAAACCAAAATATTTGTGTTTACACACAGAATCTATGAAAATCTTCACAAAAACCATATTTCGTGTTGCGAAGATGCTTATATGACATAAAAAGAAATGTTTTCTTCTGCCATAATCCGTTCATAACAATTTGATGAGGCAAAACAAAGCTCTGCTCTGCTCCGATGATGATGATCGGAAAGCAAGAGGGAAACTCAGGTGATTCTCTTTCCATTTCTTTTTCTGCATTTTTGCTTCTTCTTCAGTGCTTCACATAGTCACAAAAATAATAATTTTCTTTCAATTTTCTCCTCAATGAAGCCCATAAAGCTGGGAAAAAGATATTCAGCTTATAAGTACATGAACTCTTAGAGTCCGCACTTTCACGTGTGATTTGCTCGAGCTAGGCTGTTACTTGTGCATTTCAATGAAGTTTTTGACGCTTGAAGGAATGTGTGAAAAGCAAGAAGAGCGAAGGGGGAGAGGGAGAAGCTGGATAGTTTACCGACTTTTCTCGGAATTAGGTTCTACGACGGAACATGCAGCAACACACAGAGCTCCCATTCGATTGCTTCATTCGACGAATCAGTCAAATTGAGGTTTTAATGACTGGTAATTCGTCGTTCATCTGTTCAGGTATAGACACAATGAAAGATTGGACTGTGAACCTCTGCTCTTATCATCTGCATGACGTCAGATGCTCTGAACGAAAGATTAAAACTCTTCAAGTTCAGAACGTTGCCTTAGACAATCACAAATTAGTGGAATCACCTTTTAATTGCACTGAAAACGTGACGGAAACAGCAAATGAAAGTTCTGCTGAGAACCAAGAGCCATGTTGAAAGGAAAGGACAAAAACTTGCAAACGATTAGCAGGAAGTTAGAAACTGGCAAAAGCTAATGATCTGCGAGTGTCCGTATCTGCCAGCCTCTTAGTCTTTTTCCCTTCATTTCATGTTAGGGACCAGATGACACCGATTTTGCTCTGTAAGCTCATCTTGAAGAAGAGACGAGGAACAGAACGATCAACCACATATCACACAAAATTTTTATCTCTCAAACAACAGCTGTTCAAAAAATGTCGCAGTTCGACGTTAGATGGATGACGATGTCATCAACCATTTCATTCAGCTGACGTCACACAATGAGGTCGTCAACGTTTAATTGAGGAAAAAAAGTTTTTCTTTTGCATTTTTCCTTTCTTTGACCACACCATCATCAACTGCAGGAATTCGTTGAAGTTCAAAAAACTTTTCGGAGAACTAATGATTACGCAGAATATATGAACCGTCTGGAGATGTCACATCACGAAATCTATGATCGGAAGTTCTCTGTCCTTCAACGATCGGAGGTCAATAAAGAATTTCTTGGCTGGAGCAGATCCAAACAACTTCCACGAGTTCGAGTAATTGGAAGTTCTGAAGCGGCACGCAAAAAAGTTGTCTCGTTACCATTGGATGCATGAAATGAGCTGAACATCTCTGGAAATCTGACAATCTTTGGTCAGCATTGGTAATTACGAGTCAGAATGAAGAGAATGTCTTGAAGACCTAAGCGGAAGCGAAATCAACCGTCTTCACAACTACGATTCGTAATCGTTCGTTCGTATAAAGATGAAGATTGAGAGCAAATAATCTACGTCATCACAGACATTAGCTTGAGGTCGAACGAACGATAGGCTCGAAAGATAGAAAAGCACAAACAACGAGTGTCCGCTGGTCATTCGATCAGGCGAGAAAGAAGTTCTTTGTCTACACAGCTAACTTTCGCCCCGAGGACATGCGTGTGAAGCCACGTACACTTGATTCGCAATGTTTTCTCTGAGTTTTCCTCAAAAGGGATAAACGGTTAGTCTCTTCCGGTTCCCGTGACATACAGACAATTCTACGCATTTTCAACATTTAACAAGTGAAGGAGGAAGCTGAGGGGACAAAAAAGAGAAGAAAATCACAAATATCACACTACGAGAGAAAGGAGGGAAGATTCTGCTGTTTTACAATACACATTACGTCATCATCATCAACATCATGATGATGATGATGATGATGGTGATGATGGTGATGACTGTTTGGGAGATGTAACAGCCTGCTAGCCACCCAGAGTGAATGATAAGATTTAATTGCAAAACATGCTGTAAATCTTCAAATGTTTTTCAAGAATGTTTACAACCTGCCCAAATATTTGGTTAAAGATTCCAAAAGTTGAAAGTCGTAAAGAGAAGGAGAGAGAGAGAGAGAGTAAGTGAAAGAACAAGTTTGAGTTATTTTCCATCGGCATCATCATCATCATCAGTCAGTCAGCCTGTTTTTCAATCAAAGCTCAAATCAGAAATTAATGAGCAGTTGCATGGGGCGACACTTTCCCAAAATAGTAGCTTTCATGAGATTTATACATATAATTGCGATAATCAACTTATAACAGACTGTAACAGTCACATGTGCTATCATGGAGACTAATCCTTTCTATTTTCAGATTCCAACACTCAGCATTCCGCTTCATCATAAACACGCGGGAACAGTACCGGTTGTGCTTGGCTCACTACTCTACATTCTATTTAATAAGGAGAGAGAGCCACTTTCACCTCATAATTATTCTCATTATAAATCTAATAACCATGTCAATCATCTGTCATAATGCTTATGACATTTCCAAGAAAGTTTTTAAGATTTTCCATCATAATGAGACTGAGGTAACTGCTACTCAGTCCGTCTTCCTTAACTTTTAAAGTAAAAAACTTTAAACGGGTCAACAGATCTAGCATAACTAAGGAACGTCATCCACAGTCGTTCTTCAAACAACTTTTTTGGAACACTCTCTTCATTACCCAGTCCATAAATCACCTATGAGCTTTGTGTATAAAACCTCGTTATATTTCTTATTTTTCTATTATTTTCTTTGCCTCTGATGTTACCAAAAAACCTCAAAATCCCAAATTCGGTATACCGTTTCCCTATCCCCCGGTACTAATTATCTCAAACTTTGTCTTGCCTGCAAGAAGATTCTAACACTATCTGATGAAATAAACATCTGATATTATTACGTTTTTGTGTTAAATGTTAATATCTACCACATTAGTATGCAAAAAGGAGAAAAACAAACACATCAGGCAGTTAGTTTCATGAAAGTTAAACAAATCGTACCTCATTCATGTCTCTTCTCTCTTCTCTCCCAATCAGATCATCAGCTCACAACAACAAATGCTGCAAAAGGATTTACATGAAAACATATCGTTGACACTGATTGACTGGAAGATATTCCAAGCACACTACTAACAACACGACACACCGTAGTTCAAATCAAATAACTATTTAATTCTATTATTATCCATAAATAGCGGGAAATACAAAAAAACATTGGAAACACAATACAACCCGTACAACTTAAATCCAAGTTAGAGCTTAAAGCCACAGTAAAAGTCAAATCACATAATTGAGGAATAGATTTTCATACTTAATATAATAAATATCCGTTTTAGATCACTTTCACAGGTATTGATTAGAGTTCATTATTAATTTCAACCGTTTCTAAAGTGAATACCCCATTCTCTTTCTCATTCTCTTCGAGCAAACGATCGGGCAGAGGCCTGTTTTTGGTTTCAGGCAAGGAAAACATAACAACCAACAATTGAATAGATAGCAAAAACGCAAATATTATAAATGGCAACAGATAATGTTGTAACCGCAAATGAACAATCTGAAACTAATTTGAGGAAAAACATCCGTCAGTCTATCTTACCATGGGAGCTGCAACTGATCCAAGACGAGCTCCGACATTACAGATTCCACGAGCCATGTTGCGAACCTGAAAACACCTTTGTTGTTTATGTTCTTAGTTTTTCCTCGAAAGATATTGTACTTCCGGTGACTCAAACACACTCATTTACATAAAATACGTGAGCTGACGCACTCACGTAGATCATTCGAATGGCTCGCCGTGTTATTTTCAACGTTTTCGACGTGCAGAGCGGTTGGCCTATTTTTAGCATAAAAATGTTTTTTTTTCGGTATCATCGCTCGTGTTATTTTCGTTCGAATTTTTGAAAATAACAAATGACTTACTACAGTAGGGAAAAGCTCCGCAGAATACAAATGCAATATCTTCCAAGTGGGGTCTAATGCGGCCGCCACGAGAATCGAAAGAAGCGTTACAGAAATTGAGGTCGGAGAAATTCCGAAGAATTGCGTAAAGCAGAGTGTCCATAAAGCGATGCATGCAATCACAAGAGATATCGTAGCTATGGGCTTCCTTCCCATCCAAGGCGACACCAAGAAAGGTAATAAACCTTAATGTTTTACCATTACAAGCACTATTTACACATAATTATACCGAGACTAAACTTCAGCAAACCCATAACTCCCATATTACTGTACCTATCGCCAGGTAACATGTCAACAACAAAATAAAAACTGGAAAAATCATGTAATGTAATCCCGAAAAGTAAAGCTCACCCGAATGAAACGATAGACGACGCAACAAAACAATAACATAAACTGATGAGAGGCTTATACACGGAAGGAAAACTGAAACTGCTGTTGAGTAGTTTAATACAAAATAATTAACCTGAACAAGTCGGAATAGCCGTATCGCCTAGGATGGACTAATTCCTTCTCTGGAGTGCGGGCTATTGGAAGGTGGAAACCCAAAAGCTCATGCCAAGCCAGTTCTATGAATATGTATTTTGAAAACAGATCTTGCCATCAGTTATACCGGCATTTACAACACTTCCATTTCGCAAGGATATCCTGCTAGCAATTAATTTTGCATCACTCAACCTGTGTACACTGGCCAGCCACCGACAGCTTTCGAATGTTAAGTATTGCTGGAACACGGATATAGATAGCGAAGTAGTATGTGAGTCTTACACAGGCGAAAGTAGCAACCAAAGCGAGTGCGGAAATCGCTAGATGATAGAAAAACCAGTCTTGAGATATGTAAGCTATAAGAGCCACGAAAACCTAATTAAATTGATAAGAAGTTGTCTTTTTTTGTAGGCCAACCATTGATATGCTCCATCCATTGAGCGAAACACTCAACAGTCGGGAATTGGGTGATTCTAGGCATTCTACCAACAAAACCAAATTAGTCACCTTAAACATCGTTCATTATTGGAACATGGGCGTAGAACGAACCATGTAACCACCACAAGCCATTCCCAAAACAAAAAGCAATAAAGCAGTTAAATACCACGAGAAAGAAGCAACAAAGGAAAAAATCAAATTTCCAAAAGACAAAAATATCAAACATCCTGTAATTGTGTTAGTCACTTGAAGTAACTGTGAATTCCTACCTCTAACCACAGGCTTCCTGCCATAGACATCTGCGAGCCAGCCGGCAGAAAAGGCACCGACAAGGGCTCCTAACATGATGATACTTGAGAAAGAGGCTAGTATTATAGAGGTAGAGCATCCCTCGTCCCATTCTATTAGTAAACTTCTGAATTCTCCCTGCAAAAGTAAGAGCTCATTGAACAGTATCAAAGAGAGTACCACTTCAGCGTTGTTTTGGAATTCTGAGAGTGAGGACGAGTTGGATTTTTGAAATTCGGCACAGAATGTCTGAAACATACAATTAGAGGAGTGAAAGGAGTAATTAGAATACTTCGGTAGGTTTGTAGAAAGAAGTTGAGAGCATAGTACAAGCTATAGGTATATAACTGAGTTGAGTGGTGAGCAGAACCCCGATTTCATACTTCCTGCAATTTTAAAAATCATTAGTTTTGGGTGGTGGCTCTAGATGGCTACACGCGTCTGCTGATAAGGGACAGTTTAGGTGAGAAAGCGAACCAAAAAGATCAGATCTTACGTGGAAATTTCAAAGTTTAAAAATTAGAAACTTCTAAAGGTGTATAGTAGACCCATTACAGACCTATTCGAGCAGAAAGTGGAAGATTCTGGACTTGTGCCAGATGGGAAAGGGTTTGAAAACAAAAACGTCATTTACCCGAAATCATCGGCAACTGTTCGTTTCCGCCGTCGAGATTCTAGAGAGATAGGAATACCATTCTGACGAGTCGGGGAATGAAGTGGAGAACGTGAACCATCGCTTGAATCTACGACCACCGTGGAAGCCATTGATTGAACGGAAGAATAAGGATTGTAATCCAATAACTCTACAACATATTCTGCCCTAATGAGATCTCTAAAACACGAAACGGTTGCAAAGAAAAGAGCAAAAATCAAAGATAAGTTGGCTTGAAGACTGGAATGACTTCTGAAAATTAGAAAAAACAATTGAGAGTATGATTCATTGAGGAAAGATCCAAGTAATAGCGAGCGGATAGAGCTCAAACCTCGATATATTAAATCTCAAGTTTTAAAGATGGAATTGAGTCAGGTTGAGTAGGAAATTCGATAACGCAATCATTTTATAATCACGATAAGAGAGGAAGATCCTTAGGAGAAAAGTGACTACAAAACATAAAATGATGCTTAATACTTTCCATATATGTACGATGGAGAGACTGATGTCGCTTCTCCTCAATAATTTAGAGAAACAAATGTTCATGATGGCTGTCACATTAGTAGGCTCTTACACGACAAATGCATAAGACGCAGAGGGAAAATATCATGAAAATTTAGAAAGATAAATACCAAAAAAGGAAATCTTCAAGCGAAAGATATTCAAACATCAGATCTATCAATAGCTAGGAAAAGGAGAAGTAGCGAAACTCTGCTATCCAATATATGCATTTGCCCACTGAATAGTAGTCATGACTACCACCAATACATGAGCTACTTTTAACCAGAAATTCAGCAGACATTAAGAAAAACCCACACGATTAATTAAAAATAATAGACATATGTATTAAATTGCCAAATTGCGTCCTTCTAAGGAGACGGTGACTGCTCTCTTTGCTTTGTTTTTCTTTGTCCTTTCCATGAATTCCCTCTGCGTCTTATCCAAACGAGTGTATGCTTTACCTTTCCGCTCCCCCTGTGAAAAACAGATTAAAACCACTCCAATCACGAAGCAAAATACCTTGAATTCTCCTTCTACTAAACTCTTAGGTCTGACCACATAGTCTCTTGTAGAAGGTCTGGGCACACGAGCACGGTTGATTCCTTTATCGGCAGCACTAACGCCCGCAGCTCCATCACGTTTTCCTGGGTCCAAAGGATCCAGTAAACCTGGATTGATTGTTGGCTGAGTTTCAGTACTGCAAACAGGAAGTTATTAAAACCCTCGGGTGTGTGGGGACAAACCTCATTCTTCTCTTTTTGACCTTAGGCATATGCTCTAAATCACGTTGAACGCGTTCATCTCTGGACAATGATCGAAAATCAGTATCGAGCTGAAAAAAATTGAATTAGGGGCTGAGAAACTCTAGCTTTACCTGGAATATAGGTCTAGCCCATTCTCTGATAAGACGAGAAGCCATTTCTTTATTATCCTTCGTCTCCCTGGGATGTTTATAGAGCATCATAACAGCTTTTCCAAGACCAGACTGTTTCAGCACACTCTACAGGATAAGAACATCATAAGGAACTCTTGAAAACGCCAAACCTGTTCGAGTCTCGTGAAGCCCATCAACAACTTCAAAAGCTCTGTTCTTATTTCCAAAGCTGGTAAGCTTTTATCAGGAAGTGGAGAGAGCCAATCCGACACAGCGCTTAGCATTCCATTATCAACGAGAGCTTCTTGCATATCCACCTAGTACAGAGTTATTAAATTTCACAACTAACAACGATCAATACCCTCAGAAGCATGGTCTTCACATCGGCCAGCATCCTGCGTTTACGCAGAGCAGGTTTTCGCTCCATGTTAGAAATTCTATCCTCCTAGTAGATGAATTGGTAATAGGAAGAGTACAAGAAATGGAGAAACCTTTGTAGCCCCTTTCATCGCTTCCACCATTGCAGCAATTGCTCCGTCGTCGTCGTTTATAATGTCAATGCCATCATTCCTCCTTCTACGTTTCTTTTTCTTCTCTGCCTTCTTGTCTCTGAGCATAATGTCAAAATCCCATTCAAATCCACTGAAACAGGAACAAACAAATATCAAATAGAAAATAGCTGGGTACTTACGGATCATCTTCTCTGTCTTCCTTATAGGTTGCTTCGACTCCTGGATCGTCATCTTCTTCTTGTGGACCAGCTTCGTCTTTATTTCCTTCTTCTTCATCGGAATCATCACCGAATATATTAGTCATAAGGTCTCCCACCTTAAAGCAAATGATGAATCTTAGAAAATGAATGAATAATTACCTCATCCGAGCGTTCCTTTCCTTCTTTTCCTGCTTCATCATCCGAATCGTCAGACCCCAAAAGTTTCCTTAAATGCGAGACGTGGAAAATTAATGAAATGAAAACCGTACTGTGTTTTCTCCTTTCTCTCTTCGTCATCATCACTCTCGTCTGACTCTACGAATGCGTGCTTCTTTTTCTTCTTTTCTGGACTAACAGCTTCTCCTCCATCATCGGGTTCTATACAATGGCATTAACATACGAGGAAAGAAACAGAAAGCAACCTTCATCATCAGAATCAATCAGGACTCTATTCTTCTTAGGCGATACATCATCATCAGAATCATCCGTTGCGCGTCTGAAAAAATGGTTTCAAATCCCGGTTCGATGCAGGAACCCTTACAAGTTGGATGGTGAAGGTGACCGTAATTTCTCGGCTTCGTCTTCTTGTGTGTCTTGTGTATCTTGTGTGTCCTGATTGTCTTCAAGACCAATTGGATCTTCAGAGACATCACCAGGTTCTTAAGAGGAGAAATAACTTATTTAAAAACGCCACGGTGTGGAAGGCTGTGAATATGTTACAGAACAAAGGTAAAGAAGAATTGAAATAGCTTACGTTCTTCTTGTTCCTCGTCTTCCTCTCTGAATTCTCTCTTAATTCCTGGTCTAAAGCAAAATAGTAAATGAGACTATCGATTGTTTAGTAATAAAATGTATTTTTGTAACTCGGAAAGCTGTATGATGAGAAAACTTACTTTGATTCGTCATTACGATAGGGCGATGGAGGAGCACTATCGTCACTACTTGATGATGATGAACTTTCGCTCATATTTCCTGAAATATATGTTCTAAATCACATTCAACTTCATTATACACAGAAACAGTCAAGATTAAAAATGAAATAATAAGTATTTTTCCTTAAAATATTAATAGTCGCTAGGCTTGAAAAGGAATGGCGTAGTGTACGCAATTGCGTACGAGTAGTTATGGATGTTCTGCATCGGAGGATTTCCATGATGAATCAATCGGGTAGATAATTGTTAAATATATTAATATATTAATATTAATAATCATATCTGCAGTTTCCATAATTTATTTCAATTTATTATGAAGACGAATTGTTCCTTTTTCACTTTTAAAACGAACTTTATTGAAATATGAAAAGTTAATTTTTATTGAATGCAACTAGTCTAGGCGTTTACTCGGCCAGAAATGATTTGACAATGTGAGCTTATCTCATTAATTTAAATTTGCATGAGAACAAGTTAAAGTGATTGCAAGTATGATATGTAGGTAGTTGGGAATGAAAGTGGTTCAATGAGTATCACAATTGCGATAACCTGGTTAGCATTGTTAAAGATCTAAAACACTATAAAACTAATAACGTTCGTGTTAAAACGTAAGCTTCGTCGAGCACATGTAATCCACCATGACTTTCTTGTATTTTGGTTTCAAATACTTTGCTACAGCTGAAATGAAGGAGAATGTCATATTTCCTTGAAATGGAAAAGAATACTAACCTATAAAAATCTTGGGATGAGACGGTATTAGCAGTTCTTTTGCTTTCTGGAAATTCACATCAAACTTCTCGGGATCTCGTAAACCATATAGAAGACGAGTGACTTCTCTGGATAAATTGGTTTCTTTCAACTAGAAATGGACTGCATTGAAGTTTGGAATACAATTATCTTACCAAAGCTGAAAACTGTTCACGGCCTAAATCCCAAGCTGCTCGATAACATTGCGGAACGTCAGGAGGCAAGACGTACTGCACAGAACTCTGTAAACTCAAATGAGTACCAACTTCTTGTCAAGAAATATATACCTCATTGGGGTTCTCCGGATTCTTTGCAGCCGCTTCTGTCACAGTTTTCATTTTCCTTTTAGCAATCATGGAAGATAGAACAGATGTGTTCATGTTCTCTTTCTGAATTCCAACTGAACTTTCAGAGATTGCGGACTTCGAGTGCTCATTCGTTAATTTTAGCTGCTTAGCTGGCCTTTCTAGAGATGGTTCCTGTTCTTTCCTGGCATCATCTGAGTTGTCACAATCACAGGCACAATCAGATACGTCATTATTCTTCGTCTGCTGCAGGAAAGCTGTTTTTTTCTGAAAAAAAAAGTTATTCATGGAGAACGATTAGCGACAGGGGGGTTAGTTTCGCGTAGAAGCCCTTATTCTTTATTGTCAATCCGCCACTCAAATTCATATTTCGTTTTAGAAAATGCTGTACTCTAAGTGGGAGACTCATCAAAAACGTGTGCACACATCTAATGACATCAGTCTCCCATCTCCTAAACAAGCTTTCTAAAGAGGCGGAGTCGTATGATCGATAGGCGGGACTTTCATGGATCTTCGAGCACTCAATGTGGTTCGTATGTAACTATGGCTGTTACTAGCCCTTTTTCCAAGCTTTCCTTCAAGTTTCTCACTTGTGGTTCTGATATTAGTTTTCATGAGTAATTTTCCATTTAATTTCAACATTCTCTTCTCATTCGAAATCGATTGTCTCAAACCTGCCTCCAATTTTTTGTACCTCCAATGGAACTTTTTTCAGAGCAAATGACATGAGATGCTCGGCACAGCGTTAATATTCATCTTAGCTATAATTATATTCGGGTTTAACATCCTCCTCTTAGTTGCCATTTCATCAGACAGTAGACTTCAAGGGACAACCAGTTTACTTAGCTCAAACCTATGGCTATGCAACTGCATAACTGCTGTCGTCGTTATATTTTTTAATCTCAGTCCACCATTAGCAGCTTATTTACCATGCTCGAACCCTGCTGAGGACTATAAACTGGTGAGCTTTTATTTATTGACAATTATTAACCCCAAATCTTCATCTACTGAATGAGTAGCGCGGAACTACATGAGTTCCCGTTAGCATTACTTTTCAATTTTTTTCCGGATGAAGTCACCGAGCGAATAACGTAGCTCTAGTTTTTGCCTAATAGACCGAAACTTCAAGAGCGAAATCAAGTTCAAGGAAGGAAGAGCATACTTGTGTTCTGTTTCCTCATCACTTTCTTCTTTTCCAAACGTAGGCAAATCTCTGAGATCTTCGTAGTATTACTATGTAAGAAACATCACAGCTAGTCTCTTCAATTATTCACACAGCACGAACAAAACGGCTTTGTTCTAGCTAGTGATGCTTCATGAAACGGTTGAGAAACGAATCGAGTAACATGTCCTCATTTCCGAGAAGAAGAAGCAGAAAAAACTTAGCAGAAGCTTCGCCCTGAGGACTCCCAACGAAGGATATGAGCCTCGTGTGGGAGTTGCTCTCCAAGCTTCCGCTCCAAATAGCGCTGCGGCTTCCCGTCAAACCCTTCTCTCGACCCTTTCAATAGCTCCATCTTTGGAAATGTGAAGAAAATGCAAAAGAATTCGAAAACAGGAGAGGGTCGTGGATGATTTGAGGTTATTGGTTCCGTCGAGGCCACTACTTTTGTGACCAGGAAAGCTGTTACTTGAATTTACTTGCGGGGCTTTGCTGGATAATCAACATTCAGTTTGTTGTCCACTCTCTCTCTCTTGCTCTCTATCATATACTCTAACAACCAAGTTCGCGTGGAGTTCCATTCACATATGGGGGCAAGGGAGGCTCAGAGATTACAGAATGACAAATTTTTGCAAAACAGTTAATAATTAACATTTTTTGCAGATTTCAACATCGAAGGACAGGTTGACCAACTCTTTGGAGTTTTTTAGTGCTCGCACAGCAGCCGTCCTATTCAACTCAACCTTAAGTTTGCTCACTCTGCTCACTATAGGGGTTGTGCATGCCCTTTCAAGGCGTAATTATCATTTAACCAGGTATGGATCTTTTTTTTCGGTTCAAACTGAAGTTTTCCCCAAAAAAAGGAAAACGCTTGAGCGACATTCCATCTAGCTTCATTAGGATAATTCAGTTGGAAGTTTTGACAAAAAGAATTACAGACTGCAGTCATCACGGCTGTTGGTATCAACATGGATATTGGTCATTCTCCTGATAATTGTTGACTTTTTCTTGGTCAGCTTGGCAGACTCGCTAGTTTTAGCTATTCCCTTCCATCTTGCACTACTCTCTGTATTCTTGGTCATAAATATTGTTATCCACATCACAAATATCATCATGCTCACAAGATCTCAACCAGTAAGTTTTACTTCATTCAAAACTTGGTCTGTCATTGCCAATTTGGCACGTTGAGTGCTTAACCTATCGTACTTTAACTTTGATTTCCCTTATTGGCACTACATACAGACAAAGACATCTCGGCAACGAGTGTTAGAGAGGAAAGCAAGCAGTTTCAAACAGCTTGCTCTTGAAAGTTCAACATGTACTTATTGACCTTTTTAGGAACCTCATTTAAGGAAGCAATTCGAAGAATCTGTAACAGCTTTGTTCTGGATTTTCCTGAACTTTTTGTCATTTGTGGTCATTGTCATACGTATAATATGGAATGGCAGAGGGAAAAAGGTACGTAGATTGTCGTGTAAGGGAACAAAATTATTTTTTAGGAAAGCCAAGAGTCAATTATGGCACTTGAAATGACAGCATATTCAGTTTTATGTCTGGCTACACCTCTAATAGCTGTATTACGGGACAGATACTTAGAACAAAGTATGAGCACAATCATGAGGAACAAGAGGTAAAGCGATTCAAAAAGAACGAACACTCGCAGATTGTCTCTTTCCAACCCCGGCTAAGGTTAAAGGAACAATTCTCATTCAGCTATTCTTTTCTGTTTTGAACCTTCGAGTGAACTTTCATTCCTTCAAACCTTTACTTCAGAGTTCATCATGATGACGACATAATTTCGGCTTTAATGAGGGATCCGCCACCCCCTTATTCCTTATGAAGATCAATAAGCTTTACTGGTATATATCAATCGATTCACATTTTTCGACGATAGTAATGTAAATGGAAGAACAAAGATATTAATAAGACTTTCTCATTGCTTTCTAATCCCGAACACCCCTAATTCTCATTCAGCTTTCTCTCTCTCCCCTCCCCCTCATTAGCAAAACTATTAATTTCTCAAGAAGACTCGGGGACTCACCAATAGCTTAAACCTTTTACGAGGAGGCACAGAAGGTACTGCTGATGCAGAGAGCGAGACGGAGCCAAAAGTCGTGGGGACGAGATCTTTCTTCTTATTATTCAAATTACGTTCCGAATGGCCCGGCTCATAATCCTTAAGAGATACCGAATTATAATATTCACTGCATTCACAATTTTACATCTAAATTCTCCAATGAAGTTGGTCCCGATGGTGTTGGTTGCAAGCTTGTATACTTCGTCAACTCTTCGCTTGGTTCGTCGAACGTCAATTTTTGACTTTAAAAAAAGAAAGGAGTGAGAGAACTATGGTGTATTATCTTACTCGTCTTCTTGGACTCTAATAGTTTTCCTTGTCGCCTTTTTCTTTAACGGCTGTATTAGTTTCGAAAGGAGAGTTGATTGTGACTTCTGGGTAGTGATGTATTGAAAGATGAACATTGAAACCCTCTGCTAATCACCTGAACTTCCACATGTCTTTCACCAAAGAAACTTCGCAGACGTTTGTCGAAGTCTTCAAACTTTTCATAAGTGCGGAACCCTGGTCTTAACCAGGCGGGGAAATACGTTCGATCACAGGTTGCGAACCTCAAGCTTCACTTTGGCCCAGTTTTCAAGACTTGCTTACCTGCAATCGAGGAGAATCACGGAACCGAAGTCGTTTGCATGTCGCAAAACTCTTCCTATGGCTTGATTAACAGCTCTGAAGCCTTCTGTTTGATACCACATGTCAGGATGAGGAGCCTTTAGAAGTAATCGATTAAAGGACATGGAAGTACAATCTTTGGAACCTTAGGATCTTTCGCCCTCTGTTCAGCAAGAAAACATTTTTTTAAAATAACTCGCGGTTCAAAGAGAGGTGGATAAGGGATTCCAATAATAACAACAGCTCGGGATGATGCATCGGCAAAATCAATACCTTCACTAATCTAAAATAGAAGACTGAAGAGACTTCATCTACTTCAACAAACAAACTTTTCCCCTACAAACTCCAAATAAGAAAGCTCCTGGGCCATGTGAAACTAATTCGTCGAATGTGAGTCTGAGTTTATCTAACTCGTCCTGTAAGTAGTAAAGCTCGTATTGCAAACGTGCTGGTAGCTCACTCTAGTTCGGGGCTCCACGAGGATTTTCTTTTTTGCATCAATACGTTTATAATAAGAGTTGTCGTCAAATTCCCCTAACGACTGAAGCATTTTCAGAACTTGGTTCATCAAACCATACGATGAAAAAAACACCAGCACTCCTTTAACAACAACATTTTTTTTTCAAATGAAGAATCAAACCTTGGGGAACTTCAGCAGCAACACGTAATAGTGTCTCTCCAATACCTATGTGATAGTCTTCAGACGTTCTGAAAACATATTTGGTAAATATACAGAAAAAGAAGTAAATTAGGATCTCAACAGAAAAACAATTTTAACTACCTTTGTTCGAAGTTTCCATTTAGAAAATGTGTTTGTCCCGGACCTCTCTTTATAACTCCCGTCAAAACTTGATTCGATTGAGCTGCGTGAACATTTTCCAATTGACAACCAAAATCTCTAAAATACAAAACATGATGGGGTTAACAATTGAAAAACATACAGTCCGATATTGCTCATGAAATGCTGAAGAGGGGATAACGTTCCACTTGTCACGATTATACTTCGAGCGCCCTGCGCTTTCAACAACTTCATGGATAAGCTGGCGGAGAAACACCAGTAACTGATTTTTATCTAAAAAAAAAGCTGAATACAAGAAAAAAATATGAAAAAACTTTTGTATCTTCTCCGTCTTTGACTACTTTCTGTAAAAACAATTTGAACTTGTCGAAAACTTTTTCAGCCGAAGAATATTTCTAGGAAAAAACCATTTTAGATTATCAATATCGGAGGCTTGGATTTCCCCAGCTCAACTTACCACTTTATTGTCTTCTGTTGAAGCTTCAACCATCTGTTGAGATTGACTACAGTAGATGGTGGAGATGACTGTACTGAGCCTTTGCAGATACGTTCCTCTTTCACGGAAAGAAGAGCCTTCGGCTTCACCTGAACTTCAGTTGGTTCCCTTATCACAGGTTCAAAATACCTGTTTCAGTTAGCAAATCAGAGGCCTTTGCTAACAAATGACATATCTCGCCTGCTTTGTCATAACCGAACTCAGCAGTTTGAAACAGTTCCAATAGGAAACTTCCTTTGTATACTTTTCCCTCGAACTGTTTGAACGTCTGGCAGGTCTTGTCCGTCTCATAAGAATCGAAAATTACTTTCTCGAGGCATCCCAACATTTCTGAGAAAAGATTGAAATTTTGGCTGGCAAATTGAAGTACCGAACACCCGGCAAGCAACTCCAATCTCGAAAACGGGCTCATTCGCGGCTTTAGTGGCTTCTATCACTCCACTTGAGAAGGCTTGATTTCCAAGATCCTGACCATATAAACGTTTTTAAATTTCTTTCTTCTAACTTACCAGTTCCGTTCGCGTCTCTTCAGTTTTCTCTTGTAGTATCTCTATTGCTCTTTTCAATTCTCGAGCAGCTAAGGCTATATCAGTAGTTGAAAACTCAATAGACGTTGATTCTTCACAGATGGATTCCTTAGATAAAAGTGGGTTATAAGAACAGAACGATGAGATTTAAATACCAAATTGTGAGCTTCATCAAAGATTACTATACTTCCTTTCAAATCGACATCATATCGTCTTCGAAGCTCGGGACTGATCAAATAATTGTATGGCAGAAGTATGAGCTCGGCTGACTCGGTCATTTGCCTTGCACGATAGAAAGGACAGTGACTGAATGTTAAAATAGCTAAGATGTAAGAGAGGAGAGCTCACTTGTGCTTTTTGGCAGTTGTTACTAGGTCTTCAATATCTAACACCTCTCCAGATTCCCCGTACATGCCTTGCAAAGTTGTTGAATCACATTCTGAAAGCTGACATTACACAAGAAGACTTGGTTCGTCTCACTGTCTAACTGATTATAATAATAGCACGCATGCTTTTGTACTAAGCTCCGACACATGACGGACTACAATGGATAACTGTTGAAGGTGTACGATTTTCAACAAACCCTGAGCTGACTATCTTTCTCCTTTTTGACTACATTGTTAACACATAGCAAATCTCTCGAAGCCAATATGGAAGTCGGGACACTTAAGGAAATCAAATGATATCAGTAGCGACTGAGCTTCTCACTTCTTATAAACTGTTTTGTTAAGTTCTCTAACTACTTGTGTGAGTTGACTGTGAGTTCTAGATGAGTAATAGATTTTAGGAGCTAAAGAAGTCTTAGAAGGTCCGCCCGGTATCTCTAAACATCCGCCATCAGTTTTAATCTTCTATAGGGATAGGGAATATACCGTTAGCCATTGCAATCACTTGTTGGAGCGTCGGTGCAACAGTACTTTTTTGCTGTTGGACCCAGGCTAAAGTGGAACAAAGCAAGGATAAGGTTTTACCCGTACCGGTAGGAGACTCGAGGGCAGCATCACATTTCTTAACAAAAACTTCTTTTTATAAATAAATCATTTGATGATCATACGAGATTCAAAGCCTGGATTACTTTCTGCATGTAGGCTTTCTGGCATTCATATGGCTCAAAGGGAAAGTCAACTTCGACCTTCTCAATGATCTGCTGAACCATTTCATAAGTGGCCTGGAAAAGAGTTACAATAAGCATTATGAGTTGTTAAGGTAAACACGCTTGGGACTATATATGATGCTGTAAACATATGAACCATGAATAAAGGGCTCTGTTCCGTTATACACCCCTCCGTAATTCCTTTACAACATATGTCGAAACAATATTTTCGACAGGAAGTATCTGTAAAACCAACCCAAGGATTACCTTCCTAAACCGGGATTCTGGGGGGTATCCCCCCAGTACCGAGAATACGATTTTGCTAATATTGTACGCAAAGTAACCCATACGCGCACAGTCTTGTGGGCGGAGCCTAAAGTGTGGGGTGTATTTCAGAACAGCGCCGAATAAAGTTTCATTTCGTACCAACAATAACAATATTTCTAGGGGATAATAAAGGGTCGAAGATGGGATATGCATAAGCAGTGAAGCCACTTTCTTCTATATATCTAATCCTATCTTTAATAATGAGGGCCTCCACTACAGGTGCTATCAAAGTACGGAGACAATTGATGATGAAAATCTTCTTCCCATCGCTTGGCATGTTCGAGAGAAGGTCATTGAACTCGTTTGTTTCCAAAATCTAGAAGGAATATTGCATTTTTGAGACGCAGACCAGTGGTAACCGTACCTCTTGTTCAACTTTTGCTCGTAAGTCAGTATTGTTAGCTAAACCTTTACTGAGAAAGGTGTTGAAGCTAAGCTCAGGAGACATCTTAACAGATTTGACATGACCGTGGGCTTCAGCTCCAACCTTTTGAAGTGCGTATTCAAGCAAAGCTCTATAACAGCGTTGCGAGAAAGGATAGTCGGGCTGTAAACTGAGAATCTCTTCAATATGTAAGCTTAACTTACCTTCGCAAGCAATTCTTCCACAAGTTGCTCTTTAGCATGGCAGGCCAACTCCCGAGCCGTATAGGACACCTTGATTTGTCCGTACTCCTGGCTCAATGGAAACCCTTTGGAAGCTTCTGACCTTTCCTGAAAAAAAACATTATTTTGCATTGTCCTCATAACGTTACAGAGTATTCTTGGTGATAGATGTTATCCAAACCGCCATTAATTTTGTGGAAGCAACAACTGAAAAGAACAAGAGCTGAAACGTCTTCTTCGGCAACAAATGATTTGATGATCAAGGAAGACAAGTCACCACAAGCATGAAGACCCAATAACAATTGTTTCCTCGAGTCTGTAAACAGACATATGTTAGATTCAATCAGTTCAATGCACAACCGCTCCATTCCCCATGAATTTGAAAAATGAAACCCTTATTTTATTTTTCTCATTTCAATTGAAGTTGAACGGTTGTGCATCTCTTGGCTAACTACTGAACACAGTCTCACAATACTTACTTTCCGTTTTTTCAAGAGTAATCGCATCGGAACTTTCATCTTCTGCTCGAATGAACTGTATTTTTCGTTGAGGAGCAGCGAAAGAATCTCCAAGTTTTCTACGAAAGACGTCATCTAGCGTGGAAGCAGTCTCTACAAGCTGCAAAACTCTTTCAGAATCTGGAAGACTATGGAGCTAACATTTTGATTTCCTTCAACTGTTCCTATTGTGAGGTGCGGAAAGAAACAGGCTACCATCCTAGATAGATGTCCAAGTCCAGCCCCAATATCAAGAACAGCCTCATAACTGGAGCCTGCAAGGAAACAATAGCCCACACAAGTATATTTCAGTTACTTTCATGTAGAAGACGCAAGACTGCTATGATCTGTTCAATTTCATGCTGTTTTTTTCTTTTTATCTTGTAGCGTAGAATATTATTGTTTGATATCGCTGGTACGCAATCTTCAGGTATCTAGAATATTAGCTTGAACCTTGGACGTGACACATGTAAGATACTTCTTTCAACCCCAATGAACTGGCTAGCTCAGTTAAAGAATTGGTGTGGTCACGGTTCAAACTTAGTTCTTTTGCATCTCTCATGAACTGAATGAAATCATCAGGTAGTTGCATTCCCAATTCCGAGTCCGCTGTCAAAATCTTAACCCAATCAGTGGACTAAAATCAGGGATGAAAAAGAAAAGGGCAAGTATGTCCACTTACTTCGAGGGCACACAAGGCATTCCGCCAAGCTATGGGTACTTTGGACCAATTATCAGAGACGTAATAATCGATAGCATAAATATCTAAAAGCCAAGCATACTTCCGCAGAAAGCATTCATACATCCGATTCATTATCTGAATGATTCAGATAGGCTTGAACGATACGCATGTCCAAGAATTGGGGTTATCATCCTCTGTGGTACAAAACAAATCAAAATAATCAATGGTTTATTTCTTCGCGTTATTTGAGATCATTCATATTTACAGAAAGGTAGACCGTATCTTTGGTTCTGAAATTTAAAAAAATAGGGATAAACACTGCTATACTAACCTCAAGACAGCCGATTTATGAACTCCTATGGGTGTCGCAAGATTATCTACAATGTAATGACCACCATCAGCTTGCATCGCTACAAAGGTACCACTAACAGAAGTTTTCTCGAACATGTTCAGCTTGGCCTGTATCATGATATTGAACTCGTCATTGCATCTGCAGTTAGAACCTCTTTCCCGGAAATGTTTGCCATAAACCGCAAGTATCTCTCCCTTAACTCAGCTCGAATTTCACACCCCGTTTCATCATTCATATCTAGACAGGTCATGTACTGCTTTAATTGTAACTTTCAAGATAGAACTGTTGATCTAACCAGTAGAACAATAAAAGAAATAGCGATAACAATTTATATGTAACAACAACGTTTAGATGATTCCGATCTTGTTGGCAACATCCAAGGCATCGTAGTCAGGGGTAAGTCTGACGTAAGCCTTCTTTTGGAGAAGAGGAGTGATGAGGGTGTTGATCTTCTCAACATCGATGTTGTAAAGCTTCTTAACAGCGGCTCTGATTTGATGCTTGTTAGCGTTAACGTCAACGATGAAGACAAGGGTGTTGTGATCTTCAATCTTCTTCATGGCGGACTCAGTGGTCAAAGGGTGCTTGACGATGGCGAAAGCATCCAACTTGTTGCGTCCTGGAGCGCTCTTACGTGGGTAACTGAAAAAAATTCTATGATAGGCACAGCGGAATGTAACCATACCGTGGAACACGGGCGGTAGTGAGGGTCTTAGGGCGACGGAAGTGTACGGAGGTACGGACCTTCTTCTTGTGAACGGTCTGAAGTCCCTTAGCGACCTTCTTCTTGGCGTCGACGGCCTTAGCGACCTTCTTCTTTTCCACGGCTTTCGTATTAGGAGCCATTATCCCCAACTGAAAGAACAGATATGTTGAGCAAAGAGGTATGTTAACGTAATAAAATCATAAGATAAGAACTGGTCAAAACCAGTAGAAGAGCAAAAACAAGAAATAAAAAAAAAGAGGCGAAGCCTCAATCGTTGTTAGTATTATATACAATATAAGAATTATGTTAGTATCAACAATGTAAAGCATAGTTATAATTCTGAGATGCATTATTAACAAATTAACTCGTATGATTAGATATGTGGAGTACCAAACTGACTTGGATACTCTACTAAGTGATATCGATCTCTCGTCTCTTCCAAACCATAAGATCTCTCACAGTACAGATATGAGAAGGTACCCGCGATAACTACTACAATCATAAGCAATACGGCAATGATTCCAACTATCCATTTAAACAAGATCAACTCATTCCTCACTCTCACTTCTGACGGCGGGAAAGTAGTTGTCATATAATTAACTAGCGCAGGAATATAGTTATTCCAGAAGGAAACAAATTCGTATCGATAGTCTCTCATTAAAATCCCTGGGACAGTCATTTCCGACCAGTGAGTATAGTTAAAGTTCAAATACCAATGCGCGCGAGGTTGGAAGTCAGACCAAGTTCCATCACTAAGGAAGTTAGGGTTTCTGAAATGTTAAACTGAGGAACTGTTAGCGTTCAACAACATACTGATGAGTAACAAAGCGCCTAATGAAGTTTGAGAATACTTGGCTCGCATTTCTATCATGCTCGGTAAAAGAAACATTCTGCATATGATAGGGTCTTAACTCAGATGGCATGAACGCATAACCAAACATAAGGAACAAATCGCACTCCCTACAAGCACCTGAAAATGTTTCGTTTGAAAAAAGTTTCAAGCTCGCAACATACCCATCCAGTCATAGATGAATCTGAAGTTCTCGTTCCCTCTTGAAAAGTTGTAGTTATTGACATACATCCAGGTTCTCGAACCAGAAGCTGAATGCAGATGTGCAGAGAGGGCTATAGGCGAAGTGTAGTAGCAATCAGTGGTCATTTCAATGAATTTCTCTCGTATTTGCCAATCAGCCGATGGGTCAGGCCAGTAGGTGTATCGATCAATCATTGCTTCAGTTATCGCTTCACGATTCATCGAGTAGTTATGTCGAAAACTGTACTCCAGAGCGAAGCTCTTCATGTATTGGTAATCCACATTGTTAAAATTATTGAATTCTCCAAGTTTCCTATCTTCCAGAATGACTTCGCTCCCATCTTGTGCGTTCATTCCTATGAGTATCGGCACAGGACTGATGACGCTGGTCTGCCCGGTCGGAGCATTATTGAGAATGTACAGTGGATTTCCTGGGATAATTTTTCCATCCAGAGACGGTAAGAACATGTATCTGTTGTATCTAAGAAAACACTGACATTAAAATTCATTTTTACGGAAACTTACTCGATGGGAATCGTTGTAGTAGCTCTCACTATATCATTAGTAGACCTAGTTTGAATGCAGTCCCATACATGTTGAGGTATAGTGCTGACACAACCAAGGTATCTTCCTAACTTGATAGTATTATTGAAAGCTAAAGCTGGTTTGCCAATAGTCGAATGATAAGATACTTCAGCGCCGGACATTGCCACAGCAGAACGGAATAGATCTAAAACAGTGAAATTTAGCTTAAAAAATAGACAACAGTGACTTACTTTTAGAGAATGGAGACAGCATGTGCAAGCCTACAGAAACAGCTCCAGCATCATGTCCCATGATCGTAACAGCTTGAGGATCTCCTCCGAAAGATGCTATATGGTCCCTAACCCATTCCAGAGCGAGCTTTTGATCCAGTAATCCATAATTTCCAGACTCAGAATCGCCCAAGCTCAGAAAACCTGTAAATATAGATTGTTAAACTTTTTTATGACCATTATCGACACATGAAGAAAACGGGGGTAAGGAAGTTAATTACTATTGGCACAGATTGTGGTTTTCAAATCAAAGGAGGTGAAAAGATGCTACTGTGCCGATTAATCCCACTAATGTATAGAAACTAACCGAAAGCTCCAAGCCTGTAATTGACCGTAACTACAACCATTCCCCGAGAAGCCAGACCATGCGCTGGCCATTCACTTGCGGAACCAGTTTGAAAGTTGCCGCCATGGAAGAAAACGACCACTGGGTATACCATGCCAGATACTTTTGATACCTGAAGAAAAAGATCATGATAACAACCATTACTATTCCAACTTACATCAGGAGTGAAAATGTTCAAGAACAAACAGTTTTCATCAACCATAAAAGGATAAGGATCATTAACAGCCTCAGTCTTCGACTCTGTTGGATAGGGAGCAGCCTGTGGACGGCCTTCAACATCTTGTCCGCAAGATGCACCATATTTGAACGCAAGATAAGGTGAAGCTCCAGGTAGTTGAACAAGCTGTTGAGGAGGCTTAAACGAGAATATTCAGTTATCCATGTTGAAAATTTAAGCTTACCTTAAATCTCCTGTTGGCTACAGGAGGCTCTGCATACGGTAATCCGAGAAAAGTGAAGATGGTAACATTGTTTTTCGGAAGCAGTGGATTTGGTTCCATTGGCATTCGATCTCTTGGGATCTGCTCACTAAAGTCTTGAGTAGGTGTCCATGGCAGATTAGGGAGCAAGACGGCTTTACCCAATACATCGCCGATAGGCAACCTCACAATGACCTCATCTTTGGATAAAGTCTTAAAACGAGTAAAATAACAAAACTAATTATTTCAAAAAGTTACCTGTCCGTTGGGCCTTATGGTGGTCGTTGTCCCAAAAGGATTCCATAAGTCGATAGGCCTAGTAGGTTGAGGTACAAATTGAGATGTAACGAAGCCAAACAAAAAAAATAGATACATTAGATTTACAATATTTACAAGAACGACTGAAATAAATATTATTGTATAAAAAAATTAAAACGTTATAACGCATTCAAACAGAAATTGAAATGCATTTTTCCCTAAAAACAGCAAGTTTTGGGGATTTCACTTGCCTGTGTTCCGCACGAGGTTACGGTAGTATGCTCTATTGCGTACGAAGCCGTGTCGTCCAAGGAATTCGCGGCGGGACTCTTTCACTGCAATAAAACTTATAAAACAAAACCTTTTATGTTTAATAAAAATCATAAGTTCCGAGATAGTTATGAAATTAGGAAATAAAATCAAGCGAAGTACAAAGGTTCATTAAACCAATTAATCTTTAATCGACCAGCAAAACCATGGATATATTAAATTAATATTATGAGCATTAAAAATTCGAATAAACCTTTTGCAGAAGACGCAAATAGATTCCGTTGAACAAGCATGACGATTATACTTTTAAAAGTTTAAAATGATATTTCGTTTCATTGCTCAACGATTTACGTCTATCGAACCTTTCAGTTCATTTTTAAAAGATAGCACGCGAACAATCGTTGTTATGAACCAACCGTGAATGAACTCAGGTCGGCTTGGTGAAAGGGTATGGGATGAGCAATCGACGACAAATGACAATACATGAATGTGAAGATACTATCTTTTATAAAAAATGAAACGAACGCTCTGTTTAGAATGAATCAATAGTGACATATGATGCACAAGCTGGGAGGTTGGGATTATCTCCAGGAAAGGTCGCATAAAGAACATGCAATAAAGGTAAACAAATTGGTATGAGGGGGTTTGTGCTTGCATATCGTTGTAGGAGATACTCGTCCTTTGTATAAGCAAATACAATTACGGGCACAGACAATATTGGTGACATTGAAATGAAAGTTTAATTATAATTATAATTTACATGAGATGATTAACTGGGAGCTAATCTAAGAAGTCAGCGCATCAACTTATTGTCGAAACCATCTCAATATGAGGTAAATTTGACATAGTTAGAAGCAGCTATTAGACTTTCTTAACAGCTGACCGAGTTGTTCTATCTTTGAAGGATGGTGGGCTGAACTCGAAAATATCAAAATCATGTTTGTAAATATCCATTAGCATGTCATATAAGGTTCTGTTTGATAATATGTTATCAATGAGCTTATCACGTTCGTCCATTGAGCGAGTGGCATGCCAAGTCTTATGTTGAGCTAAAACAACGCGGATTGGATAAAGAAACAAGATAAGAACACTCACATTCAAAAGATTTCTCAATGTAATCTACGTTCCTTGTTGGGACATTGAAGGCTCTCAACGTAGAAACGATATTCGAGTACATCTCTCTCTTTCCTGAACCGAAATCAGCGTAGCGAATAAAGGCTGTCGACTTATAGATCTCTTTCATCTGGCAAACCCTAAAAAGCAACATCAAGATTGTTTCAAACGCGAATGACCTACCAGGTTTGTGGAGCGAAATGGTATGTTTCATAATAATAAGGAGTTTTACGATTCATTTTTTTGTCAATGTTTTCTGTTGTCAATCTCTCATACACGTTTTCAATGATACAGTTTGGTTCTTCCGCTGTGGAACAGTTGTAACATCCACCATGGATTCCTTGATTAACCTCTCTGGAAATAAACGATAAGAAGTACTTTCAAAAGTGAAACTCACACTACACATTTGTTGAGATAAGCAGAAACGAAACGACTGAATGGATTTCTAATAACAGCAATGTGGTTTACTCCAAAAGGCATATTCTTCTCGACATCTCTATGAGAGGGAAGGGCGTTGCGGAAATTGCATGCACTGGAGTAAAACAGAATTAGAAAAGATTAGTAAAAGCTCACCTGTTACTCCACCAGGTAGAAGCGATATTGTTGTTCTCTCCAAGGAACTTCTCTTCATCGTACAAATAGCACATCATGTTCATCAGTACTGTACTCATTCCTTTAGGGTTCTCACAACTTGCAAGCTTCAAAGCATGAGCGACCTAAAATCGAAAAAATGTTCAAATTGTCTGAAAAATCAATAACCTTAAACTGTTCGTAGATACTTCCAAAAGGCTTAATATTTGATCCAGTGATCTTCCCTGAAGTAAATAAGAAAATAAAACGAATATGAACAGTAAACACGAACCAGAAAGCAACTTATCGATATTTCTCCTTACAGCGAAGGTGAATGCAAACGTTGGGTCAGAAGAGTCGAGCAGAACGGGAGCAGGAATACGTTGTTCTTCCACCGCAGTTTGAGAAGTAGAACATACTACAGAATATACGGGGCTAGTTGATTTATCCGATGAATCAAAGTTCGAAGCTACTGACTTCTGGTTGAAGAATAGGAACCCAAGGAGAGCCGTGATAGCAAATAGGGTGAGTATCTTGAACATCCGACCAGGAACATTCAAGCCGAGTGGTTCCTTATTCAGCATATAATAGGAACTCATAGTTAGAGCGGTATAGTTAACGACGCTCCTGGAGGATCTGCAAAGTGAATGAAATGAAACTCAATCGAGAATAGAGGGGAGTCTGAAATTGAAATTGGACTCCGTGAAAACTGAAAAGATCGACTCCTGATTCTACGAGGGGTATTATATAGAAAACTGTGAAGATGATCAGGAGTCAATCTTTTCAGTTTTCACGGAGTCGTATTTTTACTTCATGAAACATTTAGAAGAAGATCAGAAGTCAATCTATACAGTTTTTACGGAGTCGCGGTTTCAATCCATGAAAAAATAATATCAGGACTTAATCTATACAGTTTTTACGGAGTCGTATTTTCAATCCAGAAAAAAAAATATCGGGAATAGATCTTTTCGGTATTTTCGCTCTTTGAAAACTGAAAAAGATTGGGTCCTGATCAACTTCACAGATTTATGCGAATTTTACTCATCACTGAACACATACTAGTTGAAAAGAAAACCTACACGACTATTTCTTCCAACGTTCAGTTGGTCTTCTGCTTCTCCATTTTATCTCGATGCTTAACTGTTTTTAGAAGCATCCTTCGAAGCTACCAAATTGATCAAGATTGTGAGTTTCGCAAATTGAACCTGCTATTTCATTAATTAGTCTCATGTCCATGTTGTTGCAGACGATCGAGGATAGCCCGAAAACTCGCTTTCATCTCTCATCGGTTCTTACCGAACTTAACTTCGTTATTACACTCCAATGGCTTATACTTCATTGTAAGTTAGTTACCACGAACACAGCAATTCGCGCTTTTTCATTCTCATTGAACAATAACGATCACGTTGTACAAGAGGTTTCAGGTGCTGCTTGTCAGAAAACTTTTTTCTGGCACGCGAATCATGGAAGACAACCGCAACAGAATTACTTTCTATACTATATTAGTGTTCGTCCAGCTGTTATTCCAATCCATCAGATCAACTCTGCTTTAATCAAATAAAGTAAGCGTAAAAATAATATAATTTTATAGTTTTACCTTCCCTGTTCGAAATTGCTCCGTTTATTTGACCAAGTTTTGATAGTCTTCTTTTGCAATTTTCATGTTTAACTACATTCCCGGAATACAACGGACCGTTGAACCATTGGTCCGACTATAAAAGATATGTGGACGTTCATATTCCGACAGTTCTCTTTTTGTTTCTCTTCATTCAATTAAAAGTTATCTAGTGACCGTTCTCTGCTCAACGTAATACTACGTATGAATTTGAATTATAATCTTACCAGTCGGCAACAAATCAACCGAGTCTGACGCATGCGACTATGAAAATGAGAAGTGCGTGAGTTGAGAGCTTGTCGTGGGCAAATTAGATCATATGCTAATTTTTTGCAGTAAATGTTCCTACTTGTTGTCAATTTCATTAACTAACCGGTTCTCAATAGAGTAAAGGGAATAAAAAAAGGTAAACGCGAACACTTGTAGATGTATGTGATCAAGAAACACACGAAATATGTGGTTGAAGATGATTTTTTCTTTGATTCTAATTAAGTATGAAGTTTCGAATAGATGTACCTTCTATACTTGAACGAATGGAGAAAAGACCGAAAAACCCAAGAATTTCATTGTTGTCCGTTCATTCTGAACAATTTCGGCTCAGAGAGACAAATGGTTCTTAAACAAGTTCCAGTTATTATTTGAATTTAAGAGCTCCGACCTCAAAACAAGTAATCGTGTCTCATATTCGCTTCCTGATAGCTATTCGTTAAATAAGAGATGCTCTCGTTGTATTTTGATTGGAATTAGATGGATGCAATGCGCATTTACGAGTTTCAAATTCCGTTTTTGAATGTAAATTTTCAGAGAAAATGATTAAGTTAAGATGAGTCACATATGTTAACGAGAGCGAGGTTCGACGAACTGTCCAAAAGACGTAATTGAACTCAATTCTCTTGTGTTAGAAGTGGGAAGTCATGCGCAGTTCTGAATTAACTCGCAATCTTTTAGTAAGACATCAACTCTCTCTCTCTCTCTCTCTCTGAAGACGTTTGAACAACCTTATTAAAATTAAAGCATTTCATTTATAATCATATCAGTTCCTTCAGAGACCCTTAAGGTAGAAAAAAAGGTTTTTGTCCCTTACGCCTTAAAACAACAGGTTTTATCATTCCACGCAGCTAACTGTCCATTTAAGGAAGCATTCTACCAAAACTCTCTCACACTCTCTATCATCATATACCGTATATTGTAATTCGGTGACTAGTTCCCCATCAAATTTGTACAAAATTTATTTAAAACCATTTGGAATTTTAAATTTTTCATTCTTCAATGGCCGCGCACATAATGCTCTTTCTCTCAATCAGACCTCAGTCAGAAACTTTGACAATCTTCGTTTGTGTGAATATAGTACTCGATCCCACACAAACTAACTATATGCATATATTTACGATGTGTGGGAAAACCATTCGTCTGCTCTCATCTCATAAACATCAATAACGACTATGCCATTATGTTTTTCCAAACTTTCAAAACATCAATGAAATCAATCTGATCCACTAAGTTCACCTCGATCCTAATAACTCTTTCTTTGTGTGCTCAGAGCAAAATAGGAAAGTTACTTGCCATTTTCTGCATGGGCAACTTCTCCTAAACGCCATGTTACTTATCGAAAATCGCTCCTTTTCCTCTTCCGGTGTCTCAGCATCTAAGAGTTCTGAAAACATTCCTTTGAAGTCTTGCTCTATTCACGGCATTTCTACCTTTTATTTCGAAATATTATTGCTGTCTCGAACTGTTTCGCCATAGTCTGGGATTACCGAGTAACAAGGTCAAAGCTGCTAAATTTCATTTTCATCACTTCACTGACAATTTTTCTCATCAAAACATGACAATATGATAGCATTGACCTTCCTAATCCATTGCAAGCGATCCGACATCTAAACAGTTTTCTTCACATCACTTATCAATTACCTTGTACCTTATTCACTTTTACAGATAATGGAGGATTTGAGAGAGAAATTCGGCTCCGTTTTCCGTATTGAAGACAAAAAATTCATCCGCGAATTGCTTGCAGAATGCATCGGGACATTCTTTCTTCTTGTAAGCTCTTTCATACAGTTCAATCTCATTCTGTCTATTACAGTTGATTGGTAACTCTGCCAATGTTCAAGCAGCCGTAGCTGCTGGAGGTAACTCCACTTCTTGTCATATTGCTTGGGGTATTGGATTCATGTTCGCCGTTTTTTTGGCTGCCAGTATATCCGGTAAATTTTCCATATGTTTCCTCGTCAAAAAGTTCATGACGTTGCACAATCACTTCCATGCAATCCCAATATGACAGACAAGTTATGATTTGTAGGTGCCCATCTGAACCCTGCAATATCTTTTGCTCAATGGCTTCTGGGAAATGTACCTTTCTGGAAAGTAATTCTTTCAATAGGCTTAGTGAAAGCAGTAGAAACTTTACTTTTCAGTTGCCAATGTATATGTTTGCTCAAGTTGTCGGAGCTTATTTGGGGTCTGCAGTAACCTATTTCGGACATCATGGTAACAATTCTTTGCAAAGTACTTTTCCAATGTCACCTCTTGCAGACGATTTACACAAAATCGACGGGGGTATAAGGTATGTGACAGGGTCCAAAGCTACCGCTGGGTTATTCACAACTTTCCCATCAGCACATATGTCCGTTTGGGGAAGTTTCTTAGATCAAGTCAGTCTAAAAAAAGGAAATTCGAATAATTTTGATTGTTCTAATAGGTTATTGGAACTGCCATTCTCTCTGGTTTGATTTGTTTGATCACTGATAAGAGACATCAAATTCCATCTGCATTTGTACCCCCATTGGCTGGTGGAATCATGAGCATGGTAGAGAAACTGAAAGAATAGAATATCTGAATGATTGTTAAGGTTGCCATGACTTACGGAGCTAACGGTGGATTTGCTATCAATCCAGCCAGAGATTTGGGTCCAAGACTGTTCTGTCTGTGTTCCGGATATGGATGGGAAGTCTTCAGGTAATCAATACATCAATCACTCAACTACATCATTCATATGCGACCTTTTGATTTTTGAAAATGAGAGAAAAAACTTTTAAAATAAATTCTCGGAACAGAGAATGTTGTAAAAGATCATTTGATAACCAAAAATAGATGAAACTGGTTTGATATTAGGAAGAATTGAACTTCTGCTTGATTGTGTGTAAGATGTATTACAACACTTCCGTGACTTTCAAAGAAAAATTATTTTATGAAAAAGTACTCTTGGAATTTCAGCTTCAACAACTATGGGTACTTCTGGATTCCAATTGTGGGACCATTCGTTGGAGCCTTGATTGGAGCATGGCTTTACAAACTCTTCGTCGGGCTTCATGGCATGAACGAAGTTTTAGAAGTCTCTGACGCCCCATCAACAAAAGGATACAATGTGAGTGTTGTTGTTGGCAATCAAAGCCACAGCAATGGATACCCAAAGAGATCCTGAATATGATCTGCAAAAAAATATTTTTCACTGCCAACCTCTGAAGACAAGGAATTTTTGTGTTTACAAAGCTGTTTATATGTTGCAACCAGCATTTATCAAATGTTCCATAATTGCTTTTCTCTTTGCTTTATGCCAAAGCATGTTCACCTCTATTTCCGATTTTAGCCTTCTTAACATACAATGTGTATCTTGGCCCCCATCAGGTGCTGTCTTCTGCCATTTACTGCATTTCGTCAACGAAGATTTTTGTTATACTTCCAGAGATATGATTTACTTTAATAAAATATTAACTATGCATGCGACGCCTATGTTCATATCTTCTCATTCCTTCGAATGTAAACATGCTTTTAGGACTGGAGATTTAATCCTCAAGGACTCCTAATTGGCTACGATAATACACTCTCAAGGTTCACCAATTTGGGAAATGAACCGTTTTTTATATTTTCAAATTACAGACAAGCTGGCCTACAAGTAAGTCAGTCACTTCATGCAGCTACTACTGTCACCAGCCAACAACAACACCAATTTGTTAATCCAGCCTACAGGGCTGATAGCCAGTATTAGGCTTTAAACTATTCTCTACAGCTTTATAAACAATAACTTTATACTAATAACACACTTCTTCAACACTCTAGTAATAGTGAAGAAAAAATTTAGAAAGAAACTAAAATCATATTACATATGAAGCACCGATGAAGACTTTCATCTATACTCGAACATTTTTTTTACAAAAAGAAATAAACTTTTCGAACAATATGAGGAGAAATATAAAAAAAAACTATTTATCAGCATCTACCATCTCTGTTGATCAAACGTCTTGACGAGCATGACACGCGACGCGTTTAACTCAACGGTATCGGAGCGCAAAATCAACCGGTCACTACATGCATTAAATAAAAATAAAAACTGACTGGATGAATGCGTGGATACGTGAATCTAGAACAATTGCCGTGATTACGTGAAAAGTTTTTCTACGTGAAGGACGTGAATGACGGGAAATATGTAAATTAAGTGGAATAGCGGAACGATCAAGAATGGACAGAAGGTATCGGAATGTAAAACAAA